CAAAAAAATAAAACAAAACAAAACAGAAAAGCAAGACTTTTCTCTATCCACACATATTGCAAAACTTCTCCTTTGCCTGGGGAGCTCACTGTTCAGGCAGCTATATTCCAGAGCATTCTTCTATTTATCCTTTTGTTGTCATTTACAATAGAACAAATTGACAAGCCTGACTGACATTTGTATGGATTCCATATACACAGCAACAGCATGAATGAGGTAAAGTGGCCTCTTGGGAGACTGCTGGGACTCTTGTTCATTATCATTATCACCATGATGATTGGTGCAGATGATGAGACTCCCAGCCATCCCATCCTCCTTGTGCTCTGCAGCCCTTCAGACAGCGAGGTGCTGCAAACACTTGTGTGARCAATCACCATTCTCCTGTCCCCACACAGGGCACCCAAGCTGAGCAGAGGGTGGACGATGTTCCAGACACCAGCAGGAATCCCAACCAAGCCACGATTCAGGCCCACTACCCCAGGCTGCTGGGGCTGGGAAGAATTCAGCTGCCTTTTGGCCTTGGAACACTGAACCATTTCACCACAGTCAGGCAGGAAGAGAAACTCTCAGTTACCAAACCAGTAAGTGCCAAACTGCTTAGACTCGTCAATAAAACGTTTCTGGTTTTTTTTATTATTATTATTTTTCATACTATAGAAAGCCATATCAGCATGCAGATCAACTGAAATTCAAATAGGGAAGTGGGAAACAGAAAAAAAAWTGGTGAAAATCTCATTTCTCTTCCAGATTGTTTTTCCTAGACATCCACTAGGTTACATTATACTGGTATCACTGTGACTGTATTCATGAAAGGGGAAATAGTAATTTCATTGTTAACCTCAAAATTATTTTCATGAGGGTTCAGTGCAATGGGTATGTTAAAGCAATTAAATAAACTGTAATGAAAAATGTGGCACCGTTTTCATGAGTTACACCTTTACAAGACTTTAGATAACTATTGCTAAAGGTTAATRTGCTTTAGATGAATCTGCAGGTATCTGTCAGGCACCGAAAGCGATCTGGGGAAGGAATGCTGCATGGCAGAGACATCTGCTGGGAGCTCCTTGCACTCCTCCCACGCCTCGTGGTTCATCTTTCTGGGGCTGTGGATCCCGGGAGCAGCCCTGAGCTGCTCCTGCTGCCTGGGGCTGGGGAATGARTTTGTGGCTAATGGAGAATTCAGCCCTGCCCGGCCATGGCCAGTCAGCCACTCAACAGGAGCCAGAAATCTTTAGGATATGCTGGAATTTAAATGGAAACTTATGCATCTAAATTGAAGGCTATACTCTTCTCTCTGGAGTATGTCTGCTGCCTGACATTGAACTGTTTGTCAGAGGAAGGCTGGGCACTGGTGAAATCCTTCTTYCCCAAGCATATACAACAGGAGAAGATCAATGTTTTAATTAGGGAAAGGAATGATCAGAGACCTCTGCAATTTTGACAACGTGTTTGCACTAAGGCACTGTTATCTAACTCAGAAACCGAAAATGAGATTTGAGATTCTAGCATCTCCTAAATTCCTAGCATCAATCACTTCCCTTCTCAGAGAGATACTGATTCTACTCTCCACCTACAAAGTGGATCTCAATCCCTCTGTCCCTTCCTCCTTCATAGTGGGAAAACACAGACTGATCATCCTGGGCTGATGGGTTCCCACTGTGCTTTGACCATATCCCAGCACCCCGTGTTTCAGTTTTAGACACTGGCTTTAAAATGACTGAGACAATGCAGAAAGCACTCACAAAGTAAACCCTAGAAAGARGAAACCCTGTTTTGTACAGCAGCAGAAAAGAGGATGCTTTGCAAACTCAATTCCCTTTTCTCCAAACACAAGGATACAGCTGATGCAAAGCATCCTGCAAATGAAAACAAGCTGCATTTGATTCCACGCACACCAAATGCTTGAACTGTGTTTAGCACATCACAGGTGTAGGGTTTGAGCGATACTCCCCAGTGTAGCAGGATTTTTCCTGCAGACACCAGTTCACATCTGATGGGAGACTGTTTTAAAACCAGCCTCTGCTCTTACATTGTAAGAACAACTCTCTCCCTCAAGCTACTTGCAGACAAAAACATGTTTACCTCCACCTATCAAAGCACCAGGGGAAAAGAACAGCCCCTTGAAGGAAATTAATCCCTGCAAAGCGTTTGAAATGTTATAAACAGCTTACGACCAGAGTGAACAGATGCACTAAGAAGGATAAACAAGCATTTGCCCAGCCCCTTGGAGGGAGCTGGCTGCACACCCCCGTTATGCCAGCAGCAGGGTGAGTGTCGAGGCGCCGGTGTCTGGTGGCCAAGGGACACTCGATGTGGCCCAGCCCAGGTATCCAAAGCAAGCAGCCAGCAGAAGAACAGCATTCCAGGAAAAAAAAAAAAAAAACAAAAACCAAAAAAAACCAAACAACCCAGCCTTCTAGTGTCTGCCCCTGACCAAATTTATGCTTTCCCTATGAGGCAGGATGTGGGGCAGGGGGTACCCATAACTTTCCCTCGCAGTCAGATAAGCCTCTCCCTCTATTGCCCAATGAATATTGAATTATTCTGTGCAAAGTCAAGCCATTTTCTCCGGAAACACTGAATGTTCCCTTCTGCTCCTGAACAACCCATTCCTGGGTGGGGCACTCCCTCAGATAATGGAGGAAAATGGAGACAGYTCTCCTTCTCACAAATGAGAGCAGGTAAACAAAGGCTCATACAGAAGACACTGTGGCAATGCTCAAAAACATAAGGGCAAGTTCATTAGGATTAGTTCTGCCAATTTTGCAGATGCAAGAGAAGTCTAGCATCTCTGTGCAGAGTCCAGGAGTATCCATCAGCAGGTCCTAAAAGGAGAAGATGTGGAAGGAAACAATTAGGGACTTCTGGACTTCACCTAAGCATGGCTGCTGAAGACCAAATGTTGCTTTCAAGGGACTACAGAGTTCACGTGGTGGACAGAGCATTCAAACTCTGCCAACAGCCCCAAACAGCTGCAGGGCAGTCGGTGGGTTCAGARGGACCTTGTGGCATGACAGAGCTTTGCTGCAGGGCAGGAATCCTGCTGAGATGCTCCCCTTGAGCTGACTCCCAGGCAGGTGGCCCGTGCTGTGTAATCCTGCAGGGAACAGCCAGGCCTCCAGGGAGTCAGTCAGGTGGGGAGGCCTTGACTGACACACTGAATTCATTAAGCAGCTTYGCTTCCGAGAAATAGAACAGAAATTATACAGGAAAGGGCATCTGAGTTGTGTCCTTCAGCAGGTATGGTATCAAGTGATCCCAATGTCTTTCAGAGATTTAAYCTCAAGGACAAAAAGCAAAGCCTGGCCTATGCTTCAGAAAAGGAAGAAATKTCTGAAATGAGGGGTTTGTATCAGTATTTGTTGAATCACATCGCTGCACTTCTGCACTCGGCAGTGTCATATGTCAGATGGTCCCTATGTATTTAAAAAGATTACTATTAAATATCAAAACCATGAGAAAAATCCAGTTTGATTGTATGCCCTGTTTGCACTAAACCTTTTTTTCTGCTCACCATCCACTGACAGAGGCATAAAACACAAAGGGCCTGCTCATTACTTCCATGGATGAAGAAATACTGTAAACAAGTCCCCCCCACTTGAGAATGAACACAATTACAGAGCASACTTCAGGAAACATGATTAAAGTATCCAGAAGAAATTAAGAAATTAAGTTACCTAGGTAATTAGAAAACAGTCAGATCATGAGTCATTAGGAGAGTGAATGGTTTAACCTTCTCCTCCCTTTCCAGAGTTTCCACTTTCTCATGCTGAGAATGAAGCACATCACTGTCTGTTAACTATMAGTGGAGGATGAAAAAAATAGAATTTTTTACTATTAACTTAAAGCGATGCYGCTTTCTTTGCATATAGAAGAAGTTCTTAGGAAGTAAGCTCCTGGGAATTACTTTTGGGTTATACATCTTCCCATCACTGAGAAGAAACAGAGATCCCGAAGGTGATARCTGCMATARAACTTAGTCTAACTTTTCTTCTACTATGCTATTTGCTACCAGCTATTAATTTATGAACATTTTCTATTAAAAAGCTTCTAACCTAAAYTAGACTAAGGAAACACCAGATTCTAACAATTAACTTCTGCCTGAAACAGAAACCTGCCCTGCAAGAACCTGAAAATCCATTACTCCTTATGAGAATGAAGCAGAGGAGAGGGACAGCTGATGAGAGGCAAACCCATATTGTACTTCACATTGCATTTCTTGGAGTGATTACCATTTTTTCCCCTCCAGAAGCATTTGACGGGCAGGTTTCACCTGCATTCTCCTCACTTGTCTAAATGCCAGCWGTGCCCTGAAGCCCAATATTCTCCAGAAGGGAGAAGACTGAGCACATGGACTAACAAGAGCAGGAAGCGACAGAATCATTTAATCAAGAGAAGTATTCTGATTCATTGGAGAACCAGGTAACTTGTAGCCAGTGTACTGTGTTTGTTTGCTGAAATGCATATTTAGTGTAAAGTTTTGAGAATCGGTGTGCTTGATTTGTGGAAAGCTCCCACCCTGCGCAGAAGAAACAGAGTCTTAATTCTGAACTTGCTCTTGTCCGTGCAAAWCACACCAGACTCTGGCTGAGGAAGGAACTCGGCAGCACTTGCTAGCCGAGAACCCGCCCACCAGCTGSAATCAGAGGGGGATACAGGAAGATGTCCTGCTCCGGCATTGCCACAGCCGCGGTCTCTGCCGCCCCATGCCGGCGGGAGGCCGCGGGGCACCATGGCACCGGGACCCGGAACTACCGCTCCCAGCAGCCACCGCGACCGCCCCSCCCGGGCGTGCGCATGCGCCTCTGGGACGGCACGCCCCGCCTCCCTCACTAACGGTAGCGCGCCTCCCCGCCCATTGGCTGGTACCCGCCGGAACCGGCTGCGCCGCGGTGTGTGCTGGGAGTTGTGGTTTTCTTGCTCCCAGCAGCAGCTGACATGAACGGGGCGGGTGGAGCACGTGTACTATCGTTCCCGGCGTGCCCCGCGCGGCCCGGAAAGAGCCGTCAGCACCAGAGCCACGGGCAGACATGGCGGGGCAGATGGCAGTGCTGGGTGAGGAAGGGGCGCGGCTGGGCTGGGCTATGGGCTCTGGGTTTGCTTCTGCTCTCGCGTGTTTCTGCCCCCGGCATCTCCCCGGATTGGCCCTCCGGGGTGGCACGGGGTTCGCATGCTCGGTGTATTCCGCTGTGTCCCGTTCTGGGCTCCTCTGTACAGGGGAGACATGGAGCTCCTGGAGCGGGTCCAGCGGAGGGCAACAAAGATGTTTAGGGAACTGGACCTCTTAAAAGGAAAGGCTGAGGGGGGACCTCATCCCTGTCTGTCAGTGTCTGCAGGGAGGGGTCAGAGCAGGGACCAGGCTCTGCTCAGTGGTGCCCAGCAGTGGGACAAGGGGCAATGAGAGAAACTGATGCCCAGGAAATTCTACCTCAGCACGAGGAAGAGCTTCTTCCCTGTGCAGTGACCGAGCATTGGACAGGTTGCCCGGAGAGGGTGTGGAGTCTCCCTCACTGGAAATATTCCAGAACCATCTGGACACAGCCCTGTGTCCTGTGCTCTGGGATGACCCTTCTTGAGCAGAGGGATTGGTCCAGGTGACCCTCTGCGATCCCATCCAACCTGACCCATTCTGGGATTGTGTGAAAGCCAAAGTGCTCAGTGGCACTTTGCTCAGAAACGTCTGAGGAGATTTGCAGCCAGAGCATGCCAGGGTTTTCTAACTGATCTGTTTGAAGGACCACTGTCACCTTTCTTCCCTGCTGGGAAAAAAAGAGGTCAACCAAACAACAAACWGTTCTGCACTTAAACTGGTCTACCCAGCATAGAAAAGATTCAGAGATGTGAGAAGATACTTTTTTGGGAGCTATGGCTGAAACAGAATGAGTTAGCATGGTTTTGTATCTCCCTATTTTTAGACTTCTGGTGAATCTGGAGGTGTTGGAATTGGGAGTTTGACTTCTTACTGTGATTTTGTGCAGTCCTTTTAACTCAATGTCCTTTTAGGGTCATTTKTAGGCAACTCCCCCAGAAGTACTAATTAGCTGTGTTATTGCAGTAACATGCAGGGAGAAATAGAATTATTACAGTGTGGTGATATTTTTGGCTTGGCCGTCTCTTGGGCTTTTTTGTCTTAATCAGTTGAATATTTAATGCCTAAGATTCTTGACTTGTAGGCATTCTCTGTTGAGAAAGAAATTAAAAGCTAATTAGGTAGCTAAACAGGTTCTGGAGTGTGAAATAAAACTGCAGGAGGTGCAGTGTGTCACACCGTGTCATTTGCRTTGACTCGTAGGTTTGCAGAGTAGATCCTGGAACCCTGCTGTTCCCAATTCTGTGTTTCAGGCTCTGCTGTGCTGGCCCTGCTCCTAGCCAGCTACCTGGCCCAGCAGTATCTGCCCATGCCCACCCCCAGAGTCATTGGGATCGACCTCGGCACCACCTACTGCTCTGTGGGCGTCTTCCTGCCTGGAACCGGGGATGTGAAGGTCATTGCAGATGAGAACGGGCACAGCAGCATCCCCAGCGTCGTCTCCTTCACACACACAGGGGTGCACGTGGGCTATGAGGGCCTGGAACTGGCTGATGCCAATCCTCAGAACACCATATATGATGCCAAGAGATTCATCGGGAAAATCTTCACTGCAGAAGAACTGGAAAGYGAAAGCAGCAGGTATCCCTTTAAGGTAAGCAGCCACCACTTGCAGTTCCCTCCAAGCTGTGAGGATGGAGGACACAATCCAGGCTGGRCAYGAACAGATCCAGAGTAGCCCTGRGGGTGCTGTGGGTGAGAGGCTGGACATGGCCCGGCCGTGTGCGCTGGGAGCCCAGAGCCCCCCGTGTGCTGGGCTCAGCCACAGCCCCGTGGGCAGCAGGGCAGGGAGGGGATTCTGCCCCTCTGCCCCGCTCTGCTCAGACCCCACCTGCAGTGCTGCATCCAGCCCTGGGCTCCCAGCACAGCARGGACATGGAGCTGCTGCAGCCAGCCCAGAGGAGGCACCCAGGGSATCAGAGGGATGGAGCAGCTCTGCTGGGAGGAAAGGCTGGGACAGCTGGGATTGTTCAGCCTGGAACGGAGAAAGCTCTGGGGTGACCTGATTATGGCCTTCCAGTGCCTGAAGGGAGCCCACAGGAAAGATGGAGAGAGACATTTTACAAGAGCACATGGTGACAGGACAAGGGAGAATGGCTTTAAACTGATAGAGAGTAGGTTTAGGTCAGATATTAGCAAAAAAGTTCTTTACTGTGAGGGCAGTGAGGCACTGGCACAGGTTTCCGAGAGAAGCTGTGGMTGCCCCATCCCTGGCAGTGCTCAAGGCCAGGTTGGATGGGGCTCTGAGCAGCCTGGTCTAGTGCAAGGTGTCCCTGCCCATGGCCAGGGGAGTTGGATCCACATGACCTTAAAGGTCCCTTCCAACCCGAATCTGTGACACTTGAAATTTGTGTGGGTGATCAGCTTGTCAGACCTTGAGTCATTTGACTCAATCTGAAAACCCTAAGAGGTTCCCAAAGAGGGGAAGGAAATGGTTGTGGAAGTTGTGTACCTCTGCATGAGAGCTGATAATGATATTCCAGAGAGCCCTGTTCTTTCTTACTGAGAAATGTGTTTCTGAGTAACCTTCCAGTCCCTTCTCTGAAAGTACARATTTCAACTTGAAATGCTAACTGTGCTTTGTTGAAACTGCACTTCTCTCTGAAAGTGTAAAATAAAAACACAAACAAAAATCAACAAGCCTCCCTCCAAAAAACCCCAAACTCAAAAATGCTTAAAAGCCACATCTTCTCTGTCCCAGTGTGCYTTTTCCTTCAGTGCTTTACTACTTAGTTGACCAGCAGCAGAACTTGAAAATTGCCTTAAAAAAAACTAATCTGCATTATATGAGCATGGTGCAGAATTGGCTGAAAAAAAGAAGAAATTCCAGATACGGCAAGTAGTCTTTGAAGTCTTGTTAGTTTTTTGATATTAAGAGAAGCTGTTCCAGTACCAAGCTGTTTGTTTCCTTTCCTGAAAAGTAACCTAATGATTAAAAAAGCATCTTTTTTGTCTTTGAATGTAGTGTTGGAAGTTGATTGCTCAGTTTCTAGGTCTTAATTTTTTAATGTGTTTTACTGGTGCTCAGTGGGTGTTGTTTGGATGTACTTGGACCCCTTAAGGGGCATGTTTTGCATAATACTCCTAACCCAGGAATAAAAGTGATCCAGAAATGGTAAAAGCATATTTAAACTTTTCCAGAAAAAAGAGAAAAAAGAGACTGTATGYAGATAAAACATTTGGTGGGAGCAGGGTGGGGGAGCACAGGAAAAAGATTTCTCACTTGGGGGTTGTGTCGCTTTATCCTTCTAGATTGTCAACAACAATGGATTAGCTGAATTTTCTGTGACAACTAATGAAACCTTTCACATCACTCCAGAGGGCATTGGCTCTAAGCTGCTGCTGAAACTGAAGAAAATGGCAGAAGCCAACCTTGGCACACCCATTTCCAAGGCAGTCATCTCCGTGCCAGCAGAGTTTGATGAAAGACAGCGGAATTCTACCATTAAGGCAGCTAACCTTGCAGGTGATGTCTCTCTGTTCCAGAGTTTTTCCTGGGGACCTTCAGGTCTATTTCACTGACARTATGGTTTTTGTGGAGGATAGAGAAACAGTGAATCTGTGACAGAGTAGCTTAAAATGGATTTATTGTCAGGAACAGCTGAAAACTTCTGAGTACCRACACGTGCAGCTTATTAATGCAGACAGGTGGTTTGAAGAGGTTTTACTTCAGAGAGAAGTCTTTTTGATAATCTCCAAATATATAGATCACCCTTGGACAATAATTTAAACAGAATGTATGAAATAAATCTCCTTAGCAAGGTTTCTCTAGAAGAAATGTGTTTTGGCAAATCGTGGTTTGTGATTTTGCCCTGATGCTGAAGCAGTGTTATTTTAGGATTAAATAAGGAAAAGAGTTCATTGGATATTACTGCATAGAAAAGTACTTCCTTTAGATCTSACACTTTACTTAAGGTGAGCRTGGTTAAAAATAACYCCAACAAGTAAKGGCAAATGWCATTATGATGTGAGAAGTGAGTTTCCTGAAGTGTACCTGAGTGTTGCCTGTTGTCTCTGCTCTTTGTAGGACTCCGTGTTTTGCGAGTAATCAATGAGCCCACAGCTGCTGCTATGGCCTATGGACTCCACAAAGCTGATGTCTTTAATGTTCTGGTGGTGGATTTGGGTGGAGGAACTTTGGATGTGTCTCTGTTGAACAAGATGGGAGGGATGTTCATCACACGAGCCATGGCAGGTGAGAAAAATGCTTTTGTTTCTCAAGCAGTGGGAGGCAAGGTGCACTTGAAGTTGCCATTGGAGGGGCTTTTAAAATATACCAGCCATGTCACAGAGTGTTCTTCCAATGCATTCTCAGCTGCTTTTCGTGCAAAATTAGGTTTATGTCTGGTTTCAGTAATTAAGAACACAGAGTCACAGGTTTTGGTWGGCCCAGAGGGGTTTCATTTTATCCACGACTGTTAACTTTTGTGCCCACTAATRAAGGTAGTGGTTTGCATTAGAGTTACTTTCACTGGATCTTTGTGGGGCCGGAGTTGTTAAAAATCTGTCACCTCTGTCCAATGTGGGAATACTTGGCAAATCATTGACCAGTGCTTTGGTGCACCCTTGCCTTGTGTTTGGTGCTAGTTCAGTTGAGCAGGGTTTGGGAATGCTGTTAACCCAGAAGTTTTGTGATTGGTGTATGAATGATCGCAGAGTTCTGGCAGCAGTGTTCAGTCAGACTCTTGTGAAGACACAGCCGTGTTTCAGCTGACCTGGATGCACACAGATCTGAGGTGCAGTGTCAACTGCCTGTATTGCCTTCAGTGAGCAAGYTCTGATCCAAGCTGCTSCTGCTGCTGCTGCTGCTGAGTCCACTTAGAGTGGAACAGCAAGAAAGATTCAGCAGCTTTACTCTGATTTAGACTGAGGTCCACTAAGTGAGTTACTGTTTCCAGTCAAAACAGAAGAGTGGGAATTATTATCCATCATGTGCTCAGTGGACAATTTTGTCTATTTTTGCAGCTCTGTGAGCTCATGTACTTGTCCTTCTGTGATTGTTCTGGTTCTTGGGCACCATGTCCCAGTGAAAGAAAAGCAGCATGCTGCTTTCTGAGGCTTTGGAGATACTGTGTCTGATGCCTTCTATTCTGATCTTTCAGGTAACAATAAACTTGGAGGACAGGATTTCAACCAGAGGTTGATGGTGTATTTATATGATCAGCTCCGTCAAACATATGGTTCTCTGCCRACACAAAAAGAGGAGATTCACCGCCTCAGGCAGGCTGTGGAAGCAGTTAAATTAAACCTGACTGTCCAGGAGGCAGCTACACTGAGGGTGCTGTTGACTCTTCCAGCAAACAACCTCACAAAAGAACTTGAAAAAAGCCACGTAAAAACAAACAGTTCACTCAAAGGCAAGGCCTCACAAAACACAGAAGACCTGAAAAATCTTGGAGACACTTCAAAAGTGGAGRATAATTTTGTCGAAGTTGCGTTTGAAACAGAAATCTCTCGGAAGCTGTTTGAGACGTTAAATGAGGACCTTTTTGAGAAGATTCTTGTGCCCATTGAACAGGTTTTGCAGGAAGGCCACCTGGATAAAGCAGAAGTGGATGAAATYGTGTTAGTCGGAGGCTCCACACGGATTCCCAAAATCCGTGAAGTTATTCGGGACTTCTTTGGAAAGGAGCCCAACACCTCTGTAGATCCTGACCTGGCAGTTGTGACAGGTGTAGCCATCCAGGCAGGAATTCTTGCTGGCTCCTGGCCTCTCCAAGTCAGTGCTATAGAAATTCCTAACAAGCATTTACGGAAGACTAATTTTAACTGAAAAGAAACCCTTCCCATTTGCATTCCAGCTCTCCAAAAGGATTCATACTTACCTGACTGGCAAAGGAACCTATTCTTAGACATATTCTATTCAATTTTCACCTGTTCCAGTTAGGTGTTACTGGACACCTAGCTGTGCTAAAGCTTGATGTTACTTTAAAGGTACAAATGAGTTCTGAAGYGTGCTGTGTTTACTTGGAGATGGGACATTGGATGAAAATGCCAGTGATGACACACCCACCTTTTCTTGCTAAATTTTATTAGCAAATCTTGGAGTGGTGTGTGTTTAAAATATAAAGGGAGTGTGACCAAAGGTTTGAGATGATGCAGTACTGTGGTATTCCGGGACCAATGTATTAACTTTGCAGGACTGTGAAGCAGCATTAACGCACAGAGCACTGGCAGTGTTCACCTTACACTTATTTATTAGATTGAGCCATTTAAGCACCTTCCCAAAAGGCATCTTGCAGCTTAAATGAGAYTGAGGCATTCACTTGATTCTTCTGCTGTTCATAACAGCATAATGGTATTGCTGAGGCTCTGTGGCAAATTGTCCCATGTTTAGGAACCCTKAYTGAAAACATAGTTCTTGCCAGTGCARTTACTTGGTCTCCCAAGGACTTCATTCCTGACCTGGCTGTGGTGGTTAAACACAGGTACTGATGTTCTACACGGAGAATGAGGGTGTATTGCCAAATATTCATACCTGCCCCTGCCTTATTTTAAAACTGCGGTGGTTTGATGGATCTTGAAGCCACACCTGCCTGTCTTCCCTTGAATTTGACCAACACGAATTTCATCGTTGTGCATTTACAAGTGTATGACATCTTCTCCCTGAAGTACCCTAAGCCATACTGTCCGYGGGGAGAAAGTGTGGGACAGAAGGGATGGCCTGGATGAAATGTAGTTCTTGTAGTCTTAGTAAATGAAAATTAACCCAATTACTTTGTTCTTGTTAGCTCATCTGTGGTTTACGTTTTGTCATATCCCCACTCTAACTGAACAGAGGTTGTAGCTGTCCTGTTAAGAAGGAAGCTGTGTGTTTAACCTGGGGTTTGAGGTGGCACTTCTTAGGACTCTCTTTTAGGCAATAGTCACTATCCAGATATCTTGAAAATGTGTGAGAACAAAGTTACTGATCTGAAAAAAACCCCAAACTGGTGACCCTCTCTCTTTGGAGGAATTAAGCAATAATTAATAATTAATTACAAAAAATCATGTCATTCAGCTAAGACTGGTTTCAACATCCATCAGCTAAGTCTTCATCAGGTAAGCTCTAGTAACAGGTGGTTTTAAGGATTTTCTTGTCTTCTCCAGAATAATTTTGTATTAACCTTGCTAAGATAAAGTGTGAGGCTTAGATTTATTGTTTTAACCTATGACTRCATTAAAATAGGCTTACTACTCTTCTGGCAGTAGGCCTGATTTATGGCACTGCCATAAATCAGTTGTGCTGATTCAGCTGTTGGCATAGCTATTGTCTAAATGCATCTTCGAAGTAATCCAATTAAAAACCTCTTAAATTGAATCATAGTTGCACACAGCCATTCCATCAGCGTTGTTTAACTTGACAGAGGATTCCCAAAGTACTGCTAACATCTGTTAAAGTTCCCTGAGTTGAAAACCAAAGTGATTTTTTTTATTTGAGGATTCTTTTTTTCCTTTGTGCCTGTTTGAAAGTGACCCCAACTAAGTCTGTATGGRACTTGCAGTAACTCAAACTCCTGCAGTGAAAGAAGTGCCTCTTCAGTGACACCATGGATGAATGCCAGCATGCTGTACAGTCCTCAGTTGCTGTTGGGGGCCTTTGCTTTGCAGACAGAAATGTATTTAACATCTGTACCAATGTCTTTAGAGTCATTGTGGCCTTTCCTTCTGCCTTGCGGTATATTCATCTCAAAATCCACTGGAGTTACAGTAGGACTTTGGTCTTCATGTCTTTAATGCACTGTRTAAAACAAGCAGACCTGTATAGAAATAGAAACACATCACAATGAAGTTAAACAATTAAAAGCTTTTGCAGTTCTGGGATAAGTTAGGTAGGAGCTATTAAAACTCTCAAGGCAAATAAATGTACTTTTTTCTTTCACATCCTCCTTTACCCTGGAGGAGTTAAATCTCCTTCAGTGTTAATCTGGGAATTGGAAGAGCAGGTTTACTTGTAAAAAAGAAAAATTCACAAAAGGGTATTTATACAGATTTCTATACAGGTTGGACTTTTTAGTAGAGAAGTTACTGCGTACATTGGATATCACAATGCGTCCTTATTTATTAAATTTTCTGAATTATTTATTTTGTATTTTTAATAGTGTATTTTGACACAAACAATTGAATTTTRAAGACAAGTCCACTGTACTAAGTGGATGTTTCTGGGTATGCACATGGGCTGCTTACCAGAAGTCTCTCTGTAAAAAAGTTGATATTTGAAGACTGAAATCTTTCTATAATCCTTATGGTTGCCTGTGGTGGTAGGTGTTTAACAAACTTCTCTAGCTAAGGCTTGTTTGGTGAGTTGAAATTCTGAAAGCATCAAGAGGCCTCAACAATTGTGTGTTCCTAAATTTTTTCCCAGTGCAGATGATGAAATGCATTTTATAAATAACATTTTAGAATATTTTTAATAAAAGCAATTTCTATCCCTTGGATATGTCTTCTTTCACTTTCTCAAAGAAATTTCTTGGTCTTCCTCAAATTCCTTTGAAGGGTACAAGATGACGTTGTGTCAGCACTGATAGAGTATCTCAGTACTGTGCGAAAGTATTGTCTTGGGAACTGTGAGATCTGGAGAAAAATTACAGTGTTTCATAAATGTTTCAAAACTGCCAAAAAGTAGAARTGTCTTCCTGTGAGGGCAAGGGGGAGTTTCCGCTCAACTTGTTTCCAGTTTCCCCTGTGGTACTGCCAGGAAAGGGTAGAGCAAGGACAGCAAGCAGGGCTGAGGGAAGCAGCTCCTGAAAGGGTGGTGCCTGTGGGATTTTTGAATGCTGTGGGGAAGGAAGTTTGAGCRGAGCATAAGCAGGTTCTGCTCCATGTTCCTTCCTGGTGAAAGGAACAGCAGAGTCACGGCCCCTTATGAGCCTCATTCAGGTCTGCTCTGGGCCCCTGCCTGTCCCATGCTTTCTGACTGGTCCCACTGGACAAGACTGGGAGCCAATCCCCAAATACCAAGGAGGCTCAGGGAGTTCCTGTTTGGAGGAAGGGTAGGAGGGGTGAGGTGTGTACCCAGCTGCAGGGCTACCAGATGGCTTTGTTTGTGCTTGCTGGTGTTTGGTGGGTCTATACTGAACTCAGCCAACGGATCCTGCTTGTTTTCCTAGAATGAGTCTCCAGCATCAGGTGTGTGAGGAGAGGCTGCAGACCCTGGCTGATGTGCTTAAGGCAAAAATGCCTTTCCCTGCCCACCCTAAGCCCATTAGGGGGTTTGCTTTGATACTGCATGGAAACACAGCAGGAACATTTCCTGCTGCTTCTGCCTCCATTGCACCCCTTCTTATAGTCAAATGTGAGGGGTACAACCTGCTGAAAGAGAAGGAAARGCTATTTGGCTTTGCTGAAACTAGTCCAGCATCTTCTCTCTCAGATTTTGCAATTTTTCAGTCTGCAGCTCTCCCAGCTGCAGTCTGAAGAAAGCTGGAACCTGAAAGGTTGTGTACACCTGGCAGTAAGCACAGAAAACCTTCCTCCCCACAAATAAAAATTACCATGCACTGATGCCACTCCTCAGACTGTTTTCTCTGGACCTTGCAAAAGGGATTGGTCCCTGAGGTACTGAAGGCTACCTCCCCTAGCCTATGGGCCTAGAACTTTCTATTGGGCAAGAAATTGAAACTGTACTTAGTATAAATCCAGGTGTCAATATTAAACTAACACAAAAGCACTGTAGCCAGGTACTTTATTCAATTTGTTGGGGTTTTTTAAGCAGCTGATGGGGATCTTATCTTAAGAGAAGACTGAGTACATTGGTTGTGTTGGTATTAAATTTCAAGAGCTTCAGGAACTGCAATAAAAATGGAAATTACTATTTATGTGGCCTACAGCAGCACAGATATATTATATACAGGATAACCTATTCCTGTTATTAGTACAGAAGTTTACATTAATATTTACTAGGAAAGAGGCAGCTCCACCTGACTGCRTTTTCTGGGATTCTTTCACGATAGGATTTTGTAATACTCAACTAGAAATGTAAGGTGTGGTTTTCAGTTATTCAGAAATCACAAAAGAAAAACTGACTTACTGGGGTACGTTTATTGCTTCAAGAACTACCTAAGTATACACGGGAATGTGCATATCCTAAAAACCAGTCCCAAATGACCTCTGTCTCTGTGTTCACACTACAAGCAGTTTTGTTCTTCCYGAATATGTAATCATAATGAGAATTATTAACTAAATGAGTGTAATATGTCAGAGCAACTTAGTCCAAATTAATTAAGACCAGCATGTGAACAGCAAGATTTATTTTTCAATCAGTCTTTACTAATGGAAGAGTTAACATGCCATGAAAATCCCTGCTTTGTTACATTGTCACAGTACCAAGATGATTTTTATAAAAACAAGTAATCCGTAAAAAATCCAAAAGTTATTTTAAGAAACTCGATCAATAAATACTTTGTAGCTGTAGTAAAGATTGTAGCTGTAGTAAATAGTAATGCTGTAAGGAGCTCTTGAGTAAGTCGGTTGTTTTATATGGAATTTAAAGTATTGCACAAATATATGTGGAATGCCAGAGATCCCTTGAGTGCTCCTTAAGAATTCACTCATCAGTTCTCTTTATCTTCTTATCCCAGCCTCTGCAACCATTTCAGAAAAGGCACCCTTTYGTTGTAACAAATTCTGTGGTGTATCATATTCGAGAATCCTTCCTGCATCCAGAACAAKCACTCTGCAATGCAAGAGCAGAAAGATTACAGAAGAAAAATCAGCTCTTCAGCCACATTTTCCAGTCCTAGTTCAGGTATGTCTGGATTATGGGAAGGCATTTCAAGGAAGTAACTTTTTTTCCAAATGGTTTATCAAAACTTACCTCTCTGAATCCATGACTGTGTGTAACCTGTGAGCTATTGTTAGCACTGTGCAGTTGTGAAACTCTCTTTTGATGGTGGACTGCACAAAGTTATCTGTTTCCATGTCAACAGAAGCTGTCGCCTCATCTAGGACCAGGATTTTTGTCTTTCGTAGCAAAGCACGGGCCAGACAGACCAGCTGTCTCTGCCCAACACTGTTAAAAATACATTTGAGAAGTCAGGCACATGGAGGAAAGGGAGCACAAGATAAAACTGAGATTACTGTGGAGCCTCTCTATACTTTTCTAACAACACGTTATGTTTCTGAAAAGACTACTGAAGTATGTTCATCTTGCTTTGGAATTTTTTCTCSTTGCTCAGCATATCAATAGCAGTTAAGGTAGGGACTCTTCAACACCCATGGCTGAACTTTGAATGTTAAACCACATTATAGTGGGCACTCTGAATGAGCCAGATTGAATGCTTAATTACTTTTTAATAATGTTCAGTGTAAAAGTYTGGATACTTCTATATGCTAGCTGTACTATGTGCCTTCTAGAAATGCCCTCCTGAAAATGGTCTGTCGAAAAATTTCAGGTTGATATTCAGTATTTAAAATCTGTCCCTTTGGTGCTGAAAGCTTTAATATTTTTCTCCTTAGTGTAGAGTCCTTTTATTTCTAGCGTCACCGTCCTTGCATAACTATGGGTTGTTTTATAAGTTAAAACGGAGTTGTGTTGCCTAAGCAAATAGAACAAAAGAATAAGCTCTCTGCATTTTGGTGAGTTTAGAATTTGTTGGGTTTTTTGGTTTTTTTTTTCTGGTTGGCTTTTTCTTTTTCATGGTTTATTTTTTTAATTTAAATAAATAAGCACTTTTTTACCTAAATCTAATGAGGTGCTGCATGAATTGCAACACCCCGCCCCCCCATCTTTACACTTATATACTTGAGCTGAAAATAGTCTACTCCCTTGGCTTCCCATACAGCACAGGGCATCAGAATTCATACCACTGTGACCAGCTGGTCACCTCAAAGAAACTTGCACTACCAGAATAGTTCTACTGAGGATGACAGGAGATGTGTCATTTTTATCCTGATACCTTCCAAAGTAAACTCTCTGGAAGGGACACAGTTTTCCAGTAGTGGAAAATAACTGCATTAGCACTTTCTTCATTATGTACCTGAGATTTTCACCACCTTCTGAAATCTCATAGAGGAGCTTCTTTGGCAGTGACTGGACAAAATCTTTCAAGTCACACAGTTCCAGCACCTCCCACAGTTCAAAATCAGAGTGTTTTCCAAGTGGATCCAGATTTGACTGCAGTGTCCCAGAAAACAAGATGGGGTCCTAAATAGCAGCAGAATGTGAAYGCATAATTCCAACATGATCCTAAAACAGGCTGTGATAAACCCTTACATTTACAGAGGGAACTGAGACAAATGATCTTGGACATGGGTCTTTGCAAGAGAAATAGTAACAGTTTGAAGCTGGTGAATGGGAGGACAAAAATCCCGTGCAGTGTCTATCAGCTCTTCATTAAGGTGAAATATAAAGGACAAGATATTTCTTGTGCATTCTCTGTGCTCTGGTTCTGTGGCTGACTAAAGACCTGCCCAGCACTGGCAAGTGCCACAACACCTGAATTAATACTATACTTATGTTTATGAAGCACTGAACACTATATTCATGAGCACTGCTAAGAAAAATTAGAAAGCTACAACTGAGTTAAATATCCTTAATTTCCTATGGGAAAGATTACATATTCAGCAMCAAGAACACCTACAGAGATTTACAGAGAGAACTAAGGTGCTCCTACAGATGGTGRAGAGACACCTTGACCAAGTGCAGTCCCAGTGGCTGTGACCTAACAGGCATAGGAGGCCAACAATAGTCACTAGCAATTTAGATGCAAACAGAACAAGAGACAATTTTGAGGGAGCACAATGACCAAACAGGACAGTTGAAGTGGTAGCAGAGCTTGTGACTGTTCTTTATTTAAACTTGCACTAGAACAGAGCTTGTGACTGTTCTTCATTTAAACTTGCACTAGAACAACATTAAAATAATTTTCAAATCTGTACTTTAATGCGATTCTTAAAAGCTGTTTGTATAAGATTATTTGGCTGAGCTGAAAAAGCTATGTGCACCCTGTCAGCTTTGGTATTTTGTCATGACCTTGTTTCTATCCCAGATTTTTACCTTCATCCACTCTCCTGACCTAYGCAATTCAACCATCCAGACTCCACCTATTCTTCACAAGCTTCAGTCTCCATTTTTTTCACTTTCAGTTCTATTCTGATCACAGCCTCCAAGTTCACTGCACTWTTGGGTTCCTCTCTCAGTTTAGTTGCCTGGATGTGGATCCCATATACTCCATCCACAGTAAATCAGACTTGCAGCTGCAGTTGAGAAAATACTGTGTTATTCACAGCTGCYAGATGTTGTGCAGATTTGTAGAGTATTAGCTACTTAAGACAAATGTTGAAACTAAATATGTAAAATTGTGTTCTGAAGACCTGTGGCATAATAAAATTTGGTTTTGTATTCTCATTTTGAGACTACAGTTTTATCAAAAAGCTGTACCAAAATGAGAAATCATATAAAAAATGGTGAATTTGCTATTCCCCTGAGCAAATATGGTTCTTAAGGTAAAAACAGCCAAGGATTTGCAGGAATCTACAGGTATATTCTAATAATCTCTGTTGGAAWGACCCAAGCTATTTTGGTTTAAATATAAGCATCATCTCTGCATGGTCTATGGGTAGAGACACAGAGGAAATATAACCAAGGTAAAAGCTCCAA